GCCGAAGCTCCACCGCCACCGCCTACAAATTTCTGCTGACCACAAAGCTAGAAAACCTGCGGGCTGAGGGGTGACTAACCCAGCAAACTGTCTGTGACCATGAGTTGAATGACCAGCGCTAACTTAATAGAAGTTGACACATGTCGCCACGCATGCAAAATGGATTCATCCAACCGCAGCGGGACGTGGTCGAGAGTTCAGCCCACGCCATCGGAAGGAGCACCACCATCGCAGGCGCAGGCCATTGTGTGACTGAATTTGATTTCAATATCTCTGCCCACACCACCCCTTCGTAGCCTCTTCAGCCCGCGGCAGTGTGGCCAATTAACAAGGCCTGGTAATGTCCGATTTATACAACTAATACCCTTTGGGGCGACAAATTTATCAATAGTGCTTAAAATTGTTGATACTACAGAATCTTCTGAAAATTTTATAATATTGTTTGTAATTAAAACCAACTTTAGTTTTAACAGCGTTAATTAATAGCGAGTCCTCGGTAACAGAACATTAATTCCACACTTAATAAGATTTATCAATCTTAAGGACAACCAATAACAAAATTGCTAAATTGTATCTGCTAAGATAAGTCTCAGCCTTCTTTAGTATTTCCACATTTATACAAAATTTTGCTAAAATTAAGCCTAAAAAACAGTTTATCATTTTTGAACGCAATATGTAAACCAATATAACCAGCTGTTTATAAGGTATCAAAATAACTGAAGGGGGGAATATAGCGGACAGCAATGGAAAAAAGTATATCCCGCCTGCCCTGACTGTCGCTTGTCAATTTTGGGCTGCTTTTTTTGTGTATTTGAACCACTATAAAAGGGGGTTTTCAATAGAACTATGGGTAGTGAAATGGCAGGCGGCGAAGGGGAGGAACTTTCTTGCGCAGCGTAGCATGAAATTGTTTGTTTACAATTGCAAACTCCATACTTCATACCGAACAGGTCGCTTCGGCTCCCCTTGTTGTTGCTGCTGTTGCTGTTATCAAATACCGGAAATTATTGTATGTTATGCCAGCGTCAACATTGCCGACGGCATCGTCATCATCGTTATCGAAACGCGGCGTAAATCCTGTATTTATGTATTTTTGGCTGCTTATTTCATGCTTCGTTGGCTGATACATATTCATAGCACGACGAAGAGCTGGGCAGCCCATCGTTGCATAAAGTTTAAATCAATCACGTCGTCAGCGAGAATTACTCAAAATTTACACGAAATACTAATGATTTTAGTTTATCGATCCTTTTTCATTTTGCATAAATTCCTAACAGCATCACGTTTATTATTAAATAACTTGTAGTTTAAACTGCCCTCCGCTACTATTGACCTATTTGTTCATAACAGTTTCAACGGCGAATTTCGGCAATTCAAAGTTAAATGAGTTAAAAACCTCTGCGTGTCATTGATATTTATTCACAGAGTTCATAATGGGGCCCAAAAAGGACGACCGGGGAGCGGGAATTGTTCTATAAATTAGCATAACGTTAGCGAGTGCAATCAAATAGTCGTAAATAAGTGTGAGCCACATTGCATTTATGGCAGCTGCAGCAACTGCGCATAACGTTCCCACAGGCATGGTCAATGCACTCAAGGTCCCAAAGAATAAATGGAACGGGAGTGGGAGTGGGAGTGCAGGGCATACAGCAAAGTACTGTATAAGGAGCAACAGTGACGCCAGCACACAATGTGCCACTTGAGTTGCCCAGTGTTTCGCTGTGCAAAAATTATATTACAACATTGTGTGTAAATTGTGATTTCCAGGCGGCAGCAGCAGGAGTGAGGCTGCGCTCGGATTCACTGAGAGGAAATCAGGTTGAATGCCGAGAAATACAGTATTATTATATAATATTAAGATTTTAAGTGAGAGAAAAATGTTTTTTTTAATAACGAGAATACTGTATGTATCGATATATCGAACAAAAATCTTGTCAAAAATCGATATGATAAAAATCTATATTATCGATAAATTCGAAAGAACACAGAAGCATGTTGTAATGCAACATTCTTAGCAACATTTTTCTACTTAACATGTTCCTAGCAAAATTAGCATTCATTTATCTTCAGCTTTTCACCCTGCTTAATTTAAGTTTTTCATAAATTTAAGCATATTAAATTAAGGAGGTTAAAGGCACGTATTTTGCAACTTTTTAAATATCCAGACTTGTCGATATTTTTGCCATTCACTACTTTCTAGTTAAGATGTCGTAAAAACGAATCAATTGTAGTATCTTCAATTCCAGTAAGCATATTCCTTGATAATCCTAATAAGAAAATGTTATTTATTCAAGTCCGTACTTGAAATGTGGAGCTTGAGTTTCCTACCCTTTTCAAAAGACAATTCTGGCCAGTGTAATTGAGTACTTGTGCTGTGGCGTATGTTAACCCCTTGGCTGGATTCTAGGGGTCGCTGTGCTCACGCTCCGTTACTAGAGCAGCTAGAGCCAGCGAGCGAAGGGGTAAATATGGAGGGTTCACGGCGTGGGAGATGGAATATGGGATGTGGGATGTAGGGGCGGATAAGCAATGTGCGTGCGCCGCTTGGTCGGTTTTAACACGCACTTAACGCACCCCCTGTAGCTGCCACCCTCGGGTGAGTGAGCGAATGTGTACACTCCAACAATGTAATCTAGGGTCCGTCGTCGACGACTGCTCATTTCCACTACAAAAGTTAATATGCTGCTAAAATGCCATTAAAAGTGTGGCGGGGAGTGCGAGATTGCTAAAAGGGGCAGAAACAGCTTCTGATAAGTTAAGAAACGTAAACACCTCGCGACACAGTTGCGTTCTTGCCCCAGGACCCAACGGATAATAAGCGCTGGAAAAACTTGAGAAAAGTAAGGAAGTCCGTGAAAAGAATGTATGGAATTGGCAAGTTGACCGGAGCAGAAGAAAAAAACTCATAAATTGAAATTGAAATTAGTCTTTTTTTCCTTTGTGCTTATAAAGGTTTTTATTAAGTAACGGTCTTTATATTCTTTTGTAAACAATTTAAATCTGGAATTTAACAGAACGTCAAGAAATAAAAAAAAAAAACATAACTAGTAAAATCTTCTTTAATTTCTAAAGTTAATAAAGAAAATTAAATAACATCGCCATCAATACTCAACACTCATTTCAGCAAGATAAATTATTTTACTTTAAATGACATCTGAACACAAGGGTGCAAAGCTCATTAAAGGGAATTCGCCACGCCCCCAAACGCTAAGCAAACCTAGAACTCAACTAAATACCCTGTCCATGACCATAGTTTTATCAAGTGTTTTGGTGTTGATTCTCTGGGCATGTGTGGGTCTGTATTTGTGGGGTCGCTGTGGGAATGCCAAATTGCATACAATTTTTGCATTCAACAACAATGGTAAATTGTCGAAAAAAAAAAGTTGGTCAGCAAAGCGGTGGCCAAAAAACATACCGCTGCTGCTCCCATTTCAGTTGTTTAGCTATGCATTAGATTCCACTTCTTTTGTTGCAAAAAACAGTTGCAGCGACAACTTTATATGGGCGTGGCAGTCGCCCATTGTCTACCAATGGCTGTGGGAACCTGTCTGTACACGGTAAGAAATATCCATATGCAAGCTGAGCTATGGAAAAAATGAAAGCCGACTGCTGAGAGAGGAAGAATGCGGAAGAGCCGATGTTTACTGATGAAATATCGATAAATTCTGACTTGTTTTTCATCAGAGGTTCATTAACTTTTTTTGAAGAAAGAAATTAGAGTTAATTTTGACAGGATTGTCTGCTGAAAATGTCGGTTCGATGTTCAGGAATAATGATAATTCTTCTTCATACCTAGTAATTAGGTTTTTATCATACTTTCCGCATCAAAAATATTGGAAGGAATAGAATATAAACTGCACTTTAAGTTAAAATATAAAATGCAAAACTTTTCTCTTAGTGCTCTTGTGTGAATCAGCCGTCGGGCTGAAACCCGATGATGTCGTCATAGTTGTCGGTGGTGCCGCCTGCACAATAACAACGACGATGCATCCGCTCTTGGCTGCTGCTGCTTTTTTCTCTATTTGCAATTGCAACTTTTCATTGTCAGTGTCATTGTTGCAGCGATATTACGTACGAGTGTACGGGTCTGGCGGGCACACCTTCTTTGCCAGCGCCATTGTTGCCGGGTTGCATACAAAATTGACCATTGAACCGGCGAGGGAAATATTCCTTTTATTCTCTTCATGCATGGCTTGCTTTTAAAATAAAGTCGCTTGGATGTCTTTTTGCATTAACCTTTGCAAAAAGCGGCCTTTTTTCCATTAGAATGGGAGTTTTTCCAGCCAGTTCGATTCGTGCAAGTTACCACAGCCGCTGGCAGTTGTTTTCGTTCTATCTTGGTTTCAATCGTCAAATTTTAGAGGATCCATATGGTACAAAACACCTTTCTATAGTGTGTGCTGTGTTTTTGAAAACCATGTCCCTGTTGATATGTGGACTTTGGTTGAGGTTCTTTAAACAAACCTCCGAAAGAGCTTTGGAAGCTAAAAAAGCTAATACTGGCCCATCTATGAGCTAAATTAGTAGGTTCAAAAAACCATTCAATTTCAAGAAAGGTAAAATGTAATGAATACACCTTAGTTCTTAAATTCATTCATCCATTCAATCCCAACTTTAACTTTGACATTGCCACGCTCAACGCTTCGGTAAACAAGTTGTTGAGCTCAAGAACTTCTGAACCCAAGCCACCTTTATATCCAGTCTCTGCCGCCAGCCATCCTTGAGCCAGATGACAGCCCGACAAGCTACACGGGAGATGAGCATAACAAAAATGATTAGCAGTCACTCGCGACTGTCATAACTCAGGTGTCAAAACAGCAACGAAATGCTATCAAACAATTTCAAGGTTGACTTGGATGCGAGGGAATAGAATGAAAAGCTCGGAACTTCTGACGATGCCAGACAAATAAATCACATTTAACAATGTGCGGGGGAATTTTTCATTTCTGCACCGGCAAATAAGTTACTGCGATGCGAAGAGGGGACTTGTTTCGACTTACCTTCGCGCACATTTTCGTAGGCGTCCTCGACATGTGACTCCTTATAGATAATGGAGTGAAAATCAAGTCCGTCCTCGGCATTATCCTCCTTTGCCTCATGGGAATTTTCCGTTGTGGGTGGGAATGTTGTTGTTGACGACGACGACGACGACGAGGAGTCCGGTGACGCCGTTGTGGATTCAGCAATTTTCTTTGTAAAGTTTTCTGTCTTACTATCGAAGGCAGTTCTGTTGTTGTTACTGTTGAGTTGTTGGGGACCCAAAGGCCGCGTTGGCTGTGTATTTTTTATGGTGCTCCTTGGGGTGGAGGTTGTTGTCGAGAATTTCGACGGAGTTGTCGGTGTTGTCGCCGTGCGATTTGTGGGAAAATAATGTTTGGCATGTTCAACATAATAGGCATCACGTTCCGTTATAATTTTACCCTCAAATACCCCATTGTGTATGGAACCAAATACATAACTATTACGATCCCCTATCACTTCGCCCTCATAGATATGATCCGTGGAGACATCAATGGGGCCCTTGCTATCATAAAACTGGAAAAGTAAAGGAAATACGAGCATTACTTAAAATTAATATAATTGCGTATGTAATACTCACGTCTAACTTATTGCTAAATGTATTTAAATCACGCTTTAATCTAAGATGGAAGTCTCTTCCATGTGATGCAAACTTTAAATGTACATAATGATCTTTGGTCACTGATCGTCGCGCTCTATTGTGACTAGCTCGGATGTGCTCGTGATCATAGTTGAGTGTTTCGTAGTGGGATATGTATTCGTTCAGTCGTTCATGACCTGTAAGCGGAGAAAAAAATCAAGCAATTAGAATCCATATACTATTTAGACAGATATAGATAGTTTAATTTTAGAAATATTAAATATGAAAGTCAATGGCATGTCTCACGACATATTCATTCTTAAAAATATTCTGTTAAAGTAAACTAAATAATTTACATCAAGCAAATTCATACGACCTTCTCCAAAATGCACATTTTTAACTTCAACTTAAAAATCAATTACAAAGAACCATTTGGGTAACCGCAATTTAATTTAAATTGTATGCCGGAAATTGGAGCACAATGCCAGGGCAGATGTCCACGTTAGGTGGTCTTTGAGGCCTTTGGCCTTTCAATGCCTTGTCGACGCTTGGGATACTACCTTCACTTAATACTTTTAACATTTGATTGCATTTATGCGCCGGGATGAGGGGACTGAGACTGCATTTACTGATGCAATGCTCCTGACGGCTGAAAGTTGTTGCACATGCCACAGATGACGGCCCAACGGATGGCAAGTGGCACTTGTGGGGAGGGCGTGGCAGGACCTCTCTCCGAGTGGCAAAAACATATTTATTTTGGCAGATGGACTGGAAAAATGGAAAACGAGCAACGGCGACAGAGAAATGGCATGAAAGACATCGTTTGGGGTCGACAAAATTCGTGTCCTTTTCCCCAGTTACGACTTCCATAACATTTTTAATGCACACACACATACTTGGACGCATAACTGCATTACTTAAGTGAGAACTTTGTCTGCCAGTTGAGGCTAAAAGGCGAGGCCTTAAAAAGCACGTCTGATTGCGTAATGGAGGGTGTTTCCGACGGTCCTCAAAAACTGTGGTCATAAAATCAAGGTGTTTGATCTTTTCTACTAATGAAACTTGAAGATTAATAATAAGAAACAAGAGCTAAACAGTGTCCCTAGTATATATGTATATTAACCCGAAAGGTTTTTATAAAAAGAAAAGTATTGTCATACCTTTATTGAACCCAACAATTCCTGTATGCCCTTTAGGTATATGTATATATTTTTAACAAGTACGTAACATAGTGCATAAATTGCCTTAATGCTTGGGGTACTCATTGCAATTGGCGTTAAATTAATTAAAACTTTACCACAAAAAATACTGTAAAATACTTTAACATATAAAAACAGGTCGGTATGATGCGGGTACAACTTCAAAGGGACAGCCGGGAAATTACACAGAACCACAGGGTAAAAAAGGAAAAAGCCGAGTCCGAAATTTCAAAATAAACAGCAAAGGTCCAAAAATGGAGTATTGCGGGAGAGAGGTTGGGTAACTAAACTGAATGTTCAAACAGATATTAAACAACGATGATTATACCCTTTGTTCACTGGACTCTGGGTTATGAGGTTGAAATTTTTAGATTATACTTTATTTTTCTTATAATTCACATGTTATCATTACAATTTAGTGGATTTTAAAGATACAACAAAAACGTAACTTCTTTAGGTAAGCTTTATTATAAATCAAACTAACTACTAGCTCCATTGTTTCTTACTTTAAATATAGTAGATTTCAAAGGATACTCAGCAGTCGGATTAACGTAACTAGTTTTTCATCTCTTTTAGCCTTTTTTATGTGCAAACTTTATAATGAATCAAGCCAGAGTAAAAGGAGGGACCTGCAATGAGGAAAATTAAGGGAGCCCTTGGCCAAGGGGTCATTTCAGTAGTTGACCCACAAACCGGTACAAAGGTTTTCTCCGCTTCAATTCAGGTGGTTCAACAATGTGGAAAGCTCTCTCAGAGACTGATTAAACAAAAGCTAAAAACCCGAGGGCGAGGGAATTGCTTGGAAAATGTGCGAAAGGTGGCAGCAATAGCTATTTCAAACCTGGAAATGTAGCGCAATGAAAACGAAATTAACACAGTAAGTTGTCATTAGTAAGTGTATTTAAGAAGAGTTAAAGACATACTAATCTTAACTGTATAGCATTTAAGATCACACATGTATATGTATTCTATTTGAGAAAGGGTATATCATGTTGATTACTTTTCTTAATTCCAATCAGTGACACCTTGACTTACATATTGCCTGTTGCTTTCCAGTTTTTCCGCCCGGCACTTTTCATTTTGTAGCGAACACCTCCCCCCAAACAGCTCAGGTGCTGCTGCACAAATGGCACAAATAAGTAAGAAAAGCTACGTCGAAGAAGAAAAACCAGCTGGAAACTACTTTCGCTATTCGGTTATAGGGACCAGCGGGATCGGATGTCTGCCAAACGCGCTTGACCGAAGAAAAGGCCAGCACAAACATGAAGTAAAAACGAAACAGAAAACCAATTCAGTTCCTTGCTCTGCCTGACTTTTCCAAGACAAAAAGTTATCTCTTTTTTTTTTGTGTTGGCTGTGTTTTGTCAATTTTCCATCGAGGCTGGCAACGAAAATAGAAACCCGATATAGAAGAAACACAAATCGCATTACCAAAAAATGGGAAATCTGGCTGAAAGTAAAAATTATAGTCCAGCTAGCCGAGCCACTACGGGAAAAGTGTGAAATGAACTAGGGGGAAAGGCTATTTTCATTTCGTCTCACTTATATTCCATTAACCCGAATTCTCCCCTGCATATCGATCCGTTACGCCAGTGCCAGGACAAACGAGAATTTAATGCGCTTCAGCGAAGATGGGGATAAGACACAGCAGAGTTACGGAGCTGGATACTTTGTGACATTCCCAGCAGTCACAGCAGAAGACCACACCAAATCCCACTCGGCATTATTCATTTTTAAAGTGCATAAAACGATGATTCAATTTAGTTCGCTCGGGCGGACAACAGAACCGCTTAAATGGCTCTCGAGCTGAATATCTGACAGTGCTCTTGGCTGGGACCTGGCAGATAGGCTTAGGTGGGGTCCGTCCCTAACAAATGGGTCGAACATTTCTACAACCCAGTCGATATGCTTGTGAAATTGAGCTGCAATTCGATTACAGTTTTCAGCTAGTAATTGATGGATGACGTTTGGGCTTAGCGGGATAAAGCCAAAGTTGCTTCTACAAGTGTGGCTATTCTTTGATAAGTGATAAGTGGCAGGAATATTTTAGATGGATTTATTAAGCTGATTTGGATTTATCTAGTTGTTTTCTTATAAATAAAGGCATTAGAAAAGAATGTTTTGAATTTGTCAGACTCAATTTGAATTTATCTTAAACTGTACCTTAAATTGTAAGAAACAGGCAGAAGGTAACATCTCCTACCCCATATCGAATAACATTTAGCCTCTAGTTAAATGCAAATGAAAAACAAACATCAACATAACGTTTGAATTTGAAGACGGTCTGTGAAGGATACCCTCTTTAAATGGAAGGGACTGACGTTTTACTTAATGGAATTTATTAAAGTTACATATTCCACTCTACAATTGATAATAAAAATAATTTGGAGTGTATTCTTAGTATAGAATGTATTTAGATTGTATGACAAACAACTGGTTAAAAAACAACAAAACGAACTATTGCCGATTTTCGAGGTTTGCTTTGCCTTCGCATCGACGCACAGTAGCGCCTCTCGAACAATTAGCGTTGCAAAAATCAAAAAAGTCATGTTCGCAAAAACGATTTTAACCATACTTATTCGACAGGAAATTTAACAAGGATTCAGAATCTGCAATAAAATCAATTTTAAGATTTTTTTTTGTAGAAGTTATGAGCATTTAAATTTGAACTTTGTTTCGTTTTTTGCATCATTAAAAAAAAATGTGTAAATTGGTCGACTTTCAGGTAATATTACAAAAAAACCATACAACCAATGGTCATGGTTTTTACTTTAAATGATAGATACATTCATAAACTATTAAAGAACCTAAAAAAACGACACTTTGGTTTGGGCTTCTACAGGTAAATCGCTACCTGCCAGGTGTCCATTTTTTTCACCTTTTTCTGCCTAAAGTAGTCTATATCTTCTGACGCCAATGAAAGCCACTGACTACACTATGTCTACAAGTTACGTGGATCTTTCCTGGACCAGAATTAACTTTCATCGGCTGCGTCGAGCTGCGTCTGCGGAAATGCAACGCAAAAAACCAAAACAACTCAGGGTAAAATATACCAAAATACCGACACAATTTCATACATTTCAAGAAATATACTAACTGTAGCGCGTGGCGGTTACACTTCGAATTAAAAAAAAAAAATTTTTTTTTCAGTTTTCAAATTATTTTTATTTGAGCAAATACATAAAAATAAACATAAAAAATTAAATAAAAATTTTTGTTTAAAAATTGTTTTCATTGAAAAAAAATTATTTTTTCACTTTGATACCCTTTAAAAAGGCGTATTTGTGGGCGTGGTACTTTATGCAGTACATATATATATTTTACAACAATTACCTGTCCAATGCCGTTTAAATTATTCGATTACCTTATTTGGTTCAAAAGATATGATTTTTGCAACGCTAAATGAGAAAAGGCGCTACTGTGCGACGCTTAGGATTCCCAACGGGTTCTAGCTTAGATGAAGGGTACCAAGAAAATAAGCAATAGTTAGCAAGTGGTCTGATGATTTTGGTAGCGCCTATGAAAAGATCGTAACCACAGCTGCTACTTGTCGATTGACAAGTTCTTTTTGTGATTTTTGGCCAAAATCGCACCTTTGATAAGAGGTAAATCTCAAAGTAGATAAGAATATGTTGAAAAATTGTTAAGTTTTAATTTTTTCCAAAAAAAAATTAGAGTTGTTTCTATGGCAGCTATATAATAAAGTTATAACTACTGAGGTAGTCAGAAGATTATCCTCAATGTTCATTCAGATAGCTTCTAAATAGAGAAAGTAGTTTGTGTATAAATTAGAAATTTAATTTCTATTCAAATTTTCAATCAATTTTTAATGCTACTTTACTTACTTTTAAGTAACGAAAATAATTTCAGTGCTATGTGATTTATTGCAATTTTCAAGATTTTATTTGACAACCTTTCATGTGGTTTCCAGCTACTTTCGGTACTTGGCGTACAAGTACCAAGGTTAGCCCAGCTGTGGGCCACACCCAACACTTACA